TGCCCCTTCTACCTCCATCATCCCACCCCGAATCTCATTCGCCGCAACGCTCTACCCGTTTACGTATTCCAATACCGCCCAACTTTGATGTCTGTCCCATTACAAGTCGTTGGGCCGCTGGGTAACAACATTTTCCGCATTCATGTCTTACTTGTATGTGATAAATTTGCTGCTTATGGCCAACCGGCGGATCTGGTCCTCTCCAGGAGCTGGTCGTTCAGGTGATACGCTCGCATCAACTTGTCGAGATGCCCCTAGATCATCGTATAATTTACCAACCGCGCTCTCCGGGAATTTCCAGGTATCCGCCCGCACGACCAAACACCGAATGCTAACTTCGGCTAGTGTAGGCTCGGGACACACAAAATGAATAAAAAACCTTCGCGACAAGTTCAAAGAGTTGATAGTGCGAATGCGTGGCTAGCGCGGATAACCGCGAAAATCTGATCAACCCCCTGTACGTTAACCGTCGTTCTATGATTGCAAAACTGTTTCTTTTATTCTTACCCCGATGGTCTGGTTCCAACTATTTAGGTGGGCATTTGAGCTCACGCTCCGGATTTGCAACAAGGTCTGCGCCCGGGGGCATTTCAACCCTAACCCAGCGAAGAAATCATGGCGAAGATGACATTTCACCTATTCTAGGCAATTACACCAGTTATCCCTCAACCCACGTTGATGCACATGCACGCCCCAAAACCAACATGAAGCTTAGATATCATGTACTATCACTCGGAAGCCTACTTGGATTGGAAGCGCCGGCCATGCCAACTCCCGGGAATGCCTGAGTCAAACCCCCGACCGGTTGCGGGCGCTGGGTACGGTAGGACGGCTGGTGCCTACCGCCTCCCTATTGACCCCAAGAGGGGCCTGAGAGATGGTTCTTGGCTCATCATAACTTTCCTTCCATGTTAACAACAAACCTGACCAAGTTTCCAACAGTGAATAGAATTCTATCATTATATTGTCCTGGAACTGTCCCGCGCTCATCCAGTCCACGGCAAACACAACGGCTCTGACCCATCGCATATTACCCGGTATCCCTGCAGCAGCTTGGCAGGGCTGCGGACCGCCGTTAGGGTCCTTTCTGGTCTTCCGGTTTCACGGCAACGCACGTCGGGAGTGATGCGAGGAGGAAGTGGAAAAATTGTGATTGATAGTCGGACGAGTCGAGGGGGGGGATTTGGCCGAGCCTTTGGGTAGATGATAGGGGGGACGGCAGCGTTACTCCGGCTATATTAGAGACGTGGAATGCAAGGCGGTAAAGTTCTCACTGACAAAGGCGCCAGTAGGTAGAAAATGGGGCTCCGGGGGCGGCTCCGACCACGCCTTCTATCATACCTAGAAGCACGGGGGATGACCGGTGACGGTATTGATTGGCGAGTGGCTTATCACGGGTAAAAGATTGGCTGCCAGGATCTTGGGGGGTGAGAGGGTGCAAGAGATAATTCGTACTGAAGAAGAAAATAAAATACACTCCTAAACAAGACTACAAACAAGAGGAAATGAAAGATGAAAGAAATATAAAAATGCCCAACACTTATTCCATAGATGAGTATCTCTTCCTTGTAACACAATTCAATAGTCCCGAATAAATTGACACTCGCTATTCTCACTTCTACACATTGCCCCCTTGTTCGCGGTAGATTCCCACAGCCTCCCACTATAGTAGAAATTGGTAGCCCACTTAAACCACCACTGATCCTGACTAACTACATACAGCATGATGAATAACCTACCCAGGCATCGCGCTTGCAGAAGCGTGTGGTATCGGAGAAAAACAAAGGTCAACACGGTCTGCAAATTGCGGCGATGCCTGGTCCGAGTTTGTGGGAAGTCTCTGTCGTGCACGCCAACCGATCGTCTCTGATTCACCGTACTTTCCTTAGTCTCGCGGTACAAAGATCAGGTTGTTGAGGCTTGTTAGGGTGTCCGGGTGGTCGGGACCGAGAACCTTCTCGCGGCCCTGCAGCACACGCCGATGCATCGCCTCTGATTCATCGTGCTTTCCTTGGCATCGCAGCAAAATAGCCAGGTTGTTGAGGGCTGTAAGGGTGTCTGGGTGGTCTGGTCCGAGAACCTTCTGATGCCCCTCAATTGCACGCCGATACATGGTTTCTGATCGATCGTGCTTTCCCTGGTATCGCAGCACAGAAGCTAGGTTGCTGAGGCTTGTTAGGGTGTCTGGGTGGTCTGGCCCGAGGACCTTCTCGCG